TGAATGAAAAGTTGGGTGTTGCAGTTGTCAGTCTCGATGGAGAATCCTTGGCGTGGTTTCAATGGGAGGATGGCCGGCGGATGATTCGGAATTGGGCGGAATTGAAGGTAATGATTCTTGAGCGTTTCCGACCAACGCAAAGAAGGCAGCTTGTGCGAGAAGTTGTTGTCGCTACGACAAGAGTCTTCGGTAAGGGAATACCGGAGGCAATTCGAGGTCTTGGCAGCGCCGTTGAGGGATGTCTCTGAGCAGGTTCTGGAGAGCTCTTTTGTTAATAGGTTAAAGCCTGAGGTATGGGCAGAGATAAGGTTGATGAAACCTATTGGGCTGGGGCGAATTATGGAAGTAGCCCAGAGGGTGGAAGAGCGTAATCTCATGGGACGCGGCCCAAAAGCCCATGGTACGCGGCCCAAAAGCCCAAGGCCCTCCATATTCAATTTTGGGAAAAGGCAATGGGTTTAATGAAACTAAAGGAGGGCAAACGACTACTAATTCTGGAAGTGGTCTGCGTTTTAATGAAGCACCGACTGAAAAAGGGAAAATTCTGGATGAAAGGAAGGCGATTAACCAGGTCACGAGAGCAGCACCATTTAGGCGAATGACTGACGCCGAGCTACAAACTAAGAGGGAGAAGGGGTTGTGTTACCGGTGCGATGGGAAATATTACGTTGACCATTGTTGTCCGAATCGGGAGTTGCAGGTCTTGATTGTCTGCGAAGAAGAGGAACAAGGTGAAGCAGAGGTAGAGAAGATTGAGGCTGCCGAAGAAGAAGAAATGGTGGAATTATCCCTCAATTCAGTGGTTGGGTTAATTAGCACTGAGTTGAGTTCTTTGAAAGTTGCTGCTACCTTTGACGTTCCAAAGTTCACGTGCATTGAAATGGGAAGAAGATGGCATCATTCAAGTGCAATTACATAATCAACACCTTGAGGACAAGGTGCGTTTTTGGGGCGGGCCTCATGTGCGGTTCACATATGCTCGAAGGAGAAGGGGCAGGGGGGAAAAGCTAAGTCTGCAAGATGGTCAAGTAATAGGCCAGTAAAGTAGTTAAGGGACGGGAAGTTAGTTAGGCTGGAGTCTGTTAAGGGGGAATATAGGTAGGAGTATAAATAAGATAGAGGTAGGCTAGTACAGTATTATTGCAGTTTGTTATTCTTCGTAGGAAGTTTGTTAGGAGAGCACGGGATCTCTCGAAAATCTCCATACCATTCTTTACTCTTTTTTGTCGCCATTGTTGATTCTTGATTCCAGTAATACAAATTCTCTTCCAATTTACCATCTTTCTGTGACAATCGATTCTGGAGCTTATCACTCTGTTTCAATTCAACTTTTTCACCACACATAACGAAATCAAATTTCATAGAATCATAATTAATAAGAACTGTAACATTTCAAACTGCCATATTTTCTTTCAAAGGAAAAAACAAAATTATAATTGTACTTTTTCTTTCTAAATTAACCTCAAGTTTTTCTCATTCACAATCATTTTTCTTTTAACCTCTTCAATCTAGTTGCCAACCAAAAACTTGTAAAATCATAACCGAATAACAACATTAAAGATTTCTCCTTTTTCTTTTTTTATGAAACAACATTAAAGATTAAAACTTTGATAATTTCCTTCAATTTTGTGAATGAAGAATCAGAGCACAAAATTTGGAAACCATCATAACTCAAAAAATCAATCTCTTGAACCTTAATTAGCCAACAGTCACAATTTCCCTATTTCACATTGCTTACTGTCTGCAACCAAGATAATGCTATCAAACAAACTTGCATGTGAATCTAAGCTCCAAAGGTTGAACATTGACAAGTTCTTCATTATTGATCACTATGAACCAATCAAAAATTACCAATCAAGATTCATAGAACAAAAAGAGACACAGAGATTCTAGGAGTTTTAGAGCGAAGGAAAGGGAAGAATCGATACATGGCTGGGGCTTAATATTAGGGAAAAAATACCCCGCGGGTTCAAATAAAATAGGAAAAAAAAGAAGGCGAGACATAAAAGAAGAAGGGTACAAACAGAAGCCATCGTCTCTTGTACCCGTTCTATCGCTGGCAAAACGTTTGGGAATAGAAGAGTGAGATCAAAACAGAAGAATAATGAACAATTGTGAAGAATACAGATAGTGGAGGATCGAGAAGAGAGAGCGAGAAAGGAGCAAGAGAGGGTAGGGAAATAGAGATAAAATGGGGGAAACGAGAAAGAAGAACCTAGATCTGAAACACAGGAGAAGAAAATGGTGAAAGGAAAATGGAATTGAGAGCGAAAAGCAAACTGAGCTTGATGGGAATTAAGTAGAAATCGACAAAATAACTCAAAGAAAAGCTTAAATAGTTAATTGTGAGAGGACCGTGAGATAGGCCACAGTAAACAAACTCATATTTCTAACATAGTAATAGATTCTTCATTCTCTCACCATATTTGTTATATTTTTCACTACCTTTTTTCCCTCTTCTTTCTACCTTTTCCTTTTATCCGGCTCTTTTTTTCCTCTGCTCTTTTTTCTTTTTTCTTGGCTTGGAAATTAATGATACAAGATGAAAATGAAAATGTTAAATCAACAAGGAAACCACAAGGTAGCATTTTCAAAAACTGAAACAAAACAAAAGATAAAAAACCTTGAGAACTCCACATTCATTTAAAGAGATCACACAATAAGTAAATAAATATATTGAAACAAACATTATTTTAAGATCATAGAAGTTATATCGTAAAGAAGCAATAAAGTGGACAAGTGAGAATCTTATATGAAGATCATAGAATTCATATCGTAAAGAATTAGTTCAAGAATCATAGCAAAAGCAAATATCGGAAACAAAATAATAAAATCACAAAGACGACACAGAGTCAACTAAAGTTAGGAGTCAAGAGGAGACATCTTTCTAAATGACGAATAATTTAAAGGGATAAGAATCTCCAAAGTAGTTAATGCAATAATTGAATCGAAAGAACACCATAAAAAAATATATTAATGATAACAACAAAATGAATTATAGCCAATTCACACAAATGTAATCCTCAGAGGTATAACCATCAATATAAGTCTTAGAAAAAATCAAAATTTGAACAAATATAATTGTCAATTAGATCAAAATTTGAACCAAGTATAACTATTATGGAAAAAATGAGATTTCATGCAAAAGAATTAGTCTCTGAAGCATAATAATAATAATCAAGAAGTAGAAAATAAAAATTAGATGTTTAAAATGACCAATAGATAGCAGATATAAGTGAAAATATAACAAGATCAATAAGATCATCAAAAGTTTAAGTCAGGAATTAGGAAGAGGCATTTAACTAAAGTACAAGTATATTACAGGGATCATCTCTGTAACTAATATAAAAAATTTAATTGAAATTATACTTACAGTGGAAAAAGAACACCATCATATTCAACACTGGAGAGACTTACATGATCACACATATTAAGAATCACAGAACATAAATACGAATGGAACAATTACTGAGAGAAATTTGTAATCATATGACTGTTATTTATAAGAGCAACTATGGCATGAGTTGTGATCTATTAGACATTATATCAAACAGGTAACAGGCAATGAAAAAATGCTTGCCAACATTTGATCATAAGAATGGATCAAACACCCTTTTTTTCTTTTAAGAATGGATATAACACGCTAGCAACAACAATATCCTGTCTTTATATCTCACAGCAACCAAACACTACGAAAGTTACCCATTACACGAGATTCACACGCATGCAAATGTAGATATATGTTTCAAATAATTAAAATGGGAATTCAAATCTGGCAGAAGTTAACCTTATACTTCTTTTATATTCTGCAGAAATTAGCAAGTTTTTCAAACATAATAAATCAACTAGTAAGAAATACCATGAAAACGCGCAGATCGAGGAAAGAAATCGAAGAGTGATTTAAATCTAGTATTTAATTTGTCTTCCCATATAATTTACCAAATATTATTGCTTTAGACATGGAAAGACAACATATCATTACTACAAAAATTACAAGCACTTACAGCTAGTTGCTGACATTTCCTACAATAAAAAATGAAAATGAAAATGAAAACGTCAAACTCAAGTTTTAAATAGAAAAAACAAACACACATCAATACAACGAAATAAAATAAATCTGAGAAAAAGAAGGAAATAAATAGAATTATAAAACTCATATCGATTCATATAACAGTTGCACTCAATTGGTTGATAGAATATTTGCCATGAAATGAATCTTATCAACCACTTTCCCTCTCTCAGTTGAACTTGAGATTAATAAGTCCAAAAGAAAAAAAAAAAAAAGTGGATAAAGAAGCTAAGATCGAAGATGTTAAATAAATCTATTTCAACAATATTTGACGTCAAAGAAACTATTTAATCAATCCACAATCCCCAGAAAAGAGATGGTTCCCAAAAAAAATTAGATTGCAAAAGCGTTATGAGATTCATTCCCAATTGTGATATGTGAAAAGAGCTTTCTTATGATAAAAAAATATCCTGAGATGACATAAACTCTTTCCAACAAATAATCTTGAACTAGTAACCCAAAATGTCACACTACACCTTGAATCTCACTATCTTAATTGCAATCAAGCTTTTTTCTAATGAGGAAAATAGAGGGTATTTTAGATATTTTGAAACACAATAGAGGGTATTTTAGATATTTTGAAAAACTCACTTAATTGGAAGAGTTGCTGCCCGCACAATCCAAAAGCAGAAACAGATAGATTTTGATTTCGCTTCTTGGGCACTACAAATTCTTTCATAATTGCATTTTAACTTTTTTACCAAACACAAAAAGAAACCCAACTTATTAAAAAAGTGCTTTTGACTGGTTCAAAACCAACATCTGAAAACTATCATGTCACACTACACCTTGAATCTCACTATCTTAATTGCAATCAAGCTTTTTTCTAATGAGGAAAATAGAGGCACGTTGAGATTTATACAAACAAATTAAGAAACAGGCACATCATATAGCAAACACTAATGTCAGAATTACAAGTAAACTCCAAACCTTTGTTCTTGTTGTTGCCTTCCAAGTTTCTCTTTCTCTACTCAGTTTTTCAAGATCCCACTTCTCACCTTGAAATAGATTAGGACCATGATTTAAGTGCAATATGCTATAAATGAAAGTAAAATGTGAAAAGGACAAACACAAACGCACACACACACAAAACATGCAGCACGCTATAGAAACCAACCATTTTCAAGAACCCTTTCTCGAGCTTGAAGTGTTGATAACGCAGCTCCCCAAACAAACTACACAAGAATCTGTCTAACCTGAAACCAAAGAAGAGAACTAAACATAGGTGCCTCTCAAATAAAATTTAGGCATAAAACCAAAATGAACAATAACCAAAAGATAGTTGCTTACCTAAGGAGCCATGTTTGGTGCATTCTTGATACCAAGTTCCTCTAAACAAGTTGCAAAATATTCTAAGATTGCAAATGATGAAAGTTTTCTTTTAAAATCAAAATGAACAATGGCAGAAAAGCATACACAGTGATTTGAAGAAGCTGCACTCAATGTTTCTGGATCTTCAAAGCATGGGGCCGTATCCACTTACAACTACCATATTGTCCAATACACTGAATTGCCACTGATGCAAAACTTTTCTGAAAAAATTAAAATAAAACAATCCACTGAGAATTAACTCAGCAATATTTGTGGTTAACTATAAGATGGTAAGCTTTCCATTGGCCATTTATTATATGAAAATCGAGAGGAAAATGTGCTTACCAGTTCAGATGTTTGGAATGCTATATAAAATCAACGTGCTTACCGCATACATATATATCCATGTAATGGCATGTCATACGCCAACTTTCACAAAAGTTCCAGCCACCTAAGTATAGCATAAAAATTGGTTCTTCTGAAATGTAAAAACTTACAAAGCAGAAACAGTAAGTAATAAATTCAGGAACAGCCAACAAGAAAAAGAATTTAAAATAACACAGCTCCTTATATCTACTCTCCCAGACAAAGATGAACACATCTTAAAGCGTTTTACAGAGAGAATTGGGTAATCAAGCAAATCACAAATGCCCACAAAGAACAGCCAAATAAAGATCTTTGGAATTTAGTTTGCAAAGAAATGGGAGTTTAAACACACACACACACACATATATTGTAAAGTAAAAAAAAATAATAATAATAATAAGGAAACTTAGAACAAATACTAGTTTAAAAGTAACTTGTTGAAAACTTGAGAAAGCATAAAGTCACAATCCTAATACACCAAGCATCTCAACATCTTAAAAAATGACAAAATTTCTTTCCAAAGATCACACCGTCTCCTAAAACCCTATCGTTCTCATATAATTTACCACTAGTTTAAAACCACATCCTAACGCACATGGGGAGCAATTATTTAGATTTTATTTGTATGTAGGGTGAAACACAGGGAAAAAATGGAGTTCAAGAGTGAAAAAGAGACATTAAGTTAGTAGAGAGAATTAATATTTGAAAAGGGAAGAGAAAATGCCTCGGGGAACAAAGTTTTTTTTTTCCCTATCCCACCAAATGTGGGGGGGGGGGGGGGGGGGGGGCACCCCCCCCTTTTTTTTTTTTTTTTTTTTTTTGTATTTTCTCATTTGACGGTTTTTTATTTTACTCTTCTCCTTTCTATTTGGAAAAAGACTAACGATATTAACAGCAATTATAAATTAAAATTACGCTAATACGTTCACCAAAAGACTCATAGTAAATAATAAACCTATTAAAAGTAGGAAATGCAACTACAAATGCAACTATATTAGAACATGTGTCCATAACAATACAATAAAGTGCACCCTGAAAAGTTTCACTTTAATAGGCATTTAAAAAAATTACACTGAAAAAAGAATATACGTTTTTGTACATTTCTACATTAATCCTCATGACTCGTGATTTGGCCTTGTGTCTTACGTTTTTGTACATTTATCCTATATTTCTGAAAAGTGCACCCTCATGCCTTCCATTAGTTAATTTTACTATTACATGAAAACGAGTTATGTCATTTGAAAATTTACACTGAAAAAAGAATATACAAAACACAACATATAGTCAATGCCATGGCTATGTCAACAGGCAAGTCTCGTTGGGGATGCTTTACGTGCAAAGATAATTGGCATCGCTAACGTGTAAAGATAATTGAGCCAACGCTTGTTTCTTTAATTCTTAAGAGAATCACAACAAAGTTTGTTATACACATACACAAAACAGAAGTGAGTTATTCAGGATTTAATGTGACAAAGAAAAATTTGTATATAGATTATGTACCTCCTTAGTACTGCTAGCAACTGAATAAAAACCAATGTATGAAGAGAAGACAATTGTAGATCCATCATTCATCTCGTTTATTCCACAGGGAATATACCTAAAAACAAGACAAGATAAATAAAATGAGACAAGATCCCACTCTGAATTTTATATCCAGTCCATCCAAGTCTAAACCCCCAAATATCCACTGGCTATTATGATAAAAAGCAGGGTTACCAATGTTAACTGTTGTAACAACCATTTGAGACAGGAATTATTCTAATGAAAGTAAGAAAGTTAATGAGAAAATGTTAAACAAATGACAATAAGGATATATAGGCTAGAAATACCTACATTTAAGGAAAAAAAAATACCTCCTTGATCTCAATGCACAAGAGGACAGTGACTATTACACAAATGCTGCACATGAATCAACCACAATACCAAGTCCAGGAATCGTATGACAAGCCAAGAAAGTAGGTATATTGGCCTCACCTCCAATAACAATCTTTTAAATACAAGGAAAGACTAAATTCTACTATAAAAGTAAATCATTTGTTCATATTTCCCCAAAACCTTGATTCTTTTTCTCTTTTTTTTTTTTTTTTTTTTTTTTTCAAAATTTCTACCGTGGAAAACAACCTAGTCAATTTTTTATTTCCCCAAAACCTTTTTTTTTTTTTTTTTTTTTTTTTTTTTTTTTTTTTTTTTTGCAAATCTACTACCGTGGAAAACAACCTAGTCAAATTAAAAAAGGCTAAGATGCATATAACTCTATCGATGTAAATAGTCATAACCAAACCAAAACAAAAGCTTGTGAAGAGAAAGCTAAACCCTAACCCCAGAGCATCAATTAATAACTCTATCGATGTAAATAGTCATAACCAAATCGGAGCAGCAAGCCAAACCTAAAACAAACAAAATCCCAAATAAGAAAGAATAAGGGAGAAGTTAAAACCTGAAGGAGAGAACCGTCCCGACTGAGCAACGAACCTTCGCCTAATAAAGCAATCGGAGGAGAAAATCAAGCGTGAAAATGGGAGGATTAGAGGACATGAAGCAAAGAAACAAAAGGAAGAGAGAGAGAGAGAGAGCGGGAAAAAAAATCTAGGGTGCATTTTGGTCGAAAACAGTAGCCCTTTTTCAATTTTCTATATTAACTAATTGAGTACACGTACTTCGCCCGTGTGTGTTTGTGCTTTAAAATTCATTGGAACTACGAATTTCAATTATTTAAAGCGATGGCTTTTCATTGTTGTTCATCAAATTTTGGGACTTCTTCAAAGTAGCCATGTTTGTTAACGATATGAAGAGGTTTTGCATTGACTTATTAGTTTGCCATTTTTTTTAAATATTCTCAAACTCAAGGTGCTTAAACTGCAAGTTTAAAAAATAATAATAATAATAATAACTAATCTAATGTCTATGAGTTTTGTTAATTGAAACAAGAGGATTTATTTGACCGTCCAAAAAGTGGCAGTTTCATCCAACAATGCAATAATCGCCACAAGTTTAATAAGATTAGGTTATCCATTACATGATAAAAGGATGAGAATTGCAAGAAAAGTTTCAATATCTATTAGGTATCAGATGAAGTATCATAAAGAAAGTCTCTGGAACACCAAAAAACAGAAAAATCAAAACCTTGAATAAATCAACTTCTAACATAGAAATCAAAACCCTGCATTTGTCTTAGAACATTACACGATAAAAATGCTCATTGATTTGGAACTTAAACTATTGTCGTACAAGAGTGAAAAAGAAAAGGAAAGAAATTTTACCAGAGATGTGAACAATGAATAAGGCGATACAAGTATGGCATCTTCCTTTTTTCTGCATATAATTCTCTCTGAAGTTCCTTTCATGCATAATCCTCCACCTTACCCATATTGATATCCTCTAAATCTTTTTTTTACCCTAAAAAAGAAAAAAGAAAAAAACAATAATAAAAAATAAAAGATGCACAGAAACGCACGTCGTAAGAACCCTGAGACGAAGCTGGCAATGAGTGTAATGCTCTGACCAGTTTTCTCATCAAATGTTCCATACACAACTGTTCAAAGGTCAACAACTTATTAGGTAAAAAACAAAACCAATTTCTTTGGAACATGGTTAAGTGTAGAAGAACAAAGTTGAAGTGCAATCACAATAGTTTCCACCATAATCCTTTGCTCCAACAATCTTTCATATGCAGCAATCTGCAAAAGGTCAACACACGCCCACTTCACCTAACCACTAACAGCAATCTATCAATTTTTTGGCGCAAGCCTTTGTATACACTAACTCAATAACGAGCCCATTGAAAATAAAAAGGCAAAAAAAAAAAAAGGAGTCATCTAGAATAATCAAATCCTTTGCCACTGTAAGTTACCAAAGAACATTAACTTTTCTAAATAATTAGTTCATCTGTGTGAGAATTGCCAGTTACGAACAACAAAAATTGAGTCAGCGTAACAAGTGCCAGCGTAGTTTAAGCTTGTTCATAGTATTCAACTCATTCACTTCCAAAAAGCAAAAAGTTAAAAGTAATCAATACTTCTACACCAAGATAGACTAGCCTAAAGACATAAATTCCAGTACCCAGTTATTTGAAACTTCACTAAACTTGTCTTCCTAAGCAAACAAGTATGAGCTTGTTAATTTTAAACACACAAAGCTATGAGTCCATTACTTTCTCTAGCAAGTAAAGGTAGATTTGATATAGTAGAGTCCAAGTAACCCCTTTTTTTTGCAGTATAGATTCAAACTGCAGTGATTAGATCAACTTTTGGTTTTTACTTTTTGTTTTTCTAACAGTGATGACCGTGTCTAATTACTCATGACTACATACGGGAATTAAACCAAACGAAATTAAGTTTCCCCTGAAACAGAACTCACCCGAACCACAATCTGAATAAAGAATATCAAAGAGCAATTATTAGCTCTTAATCAAGACGGTTAGGGTGGCATAATCGAAAATACTCCCACTGTAACCAAACTGCGCAAGTATTCACAAATCTAACATACATCTATACAGCATTTGCTAGAGCCACAGAAGATTTACTTAATAAAAGAGGGGGAAAACACCGATAGCAAACCCATTAAAAAAAAACAACGAGTGGGCAATAAAGGAAAACCCATTCCACAACCCCATAAATTTGTATTAACACCTGGGCTTTAATTATTGGGTTCAGAGGATTCAGAACATTGTCTACAAGGAAATCCAAAGAGAAAAAAATAGGAATAGCCAAATTAAAGCAAGAATTTCAACCTGGAACGAGCAAAAATCGCAAAAATAAAGAACAAAGGGAGGTGAGAGATCCAAACCAGAGAGAGGAGAAAGCCTCCACTCTTATCTGCTTGCGACCGC